GGCGAACCCGCACGAGCTGCGTGGGGGCCGCGGAGAGGGCCGCGAAGTCTAGCTCGGCCTTCGGCTTTGAGATGCGAGGTCTCGAGCTCTTCGAGTTGCCCGGTTTCGACTTCATTGCCGGACCGGCCACGTTCCGAGACACCGAGACCGCGCCCACCCCACGGGGGGACGCGTTCTGCAGCATCGAGGCCGCGTTCTGGACCGTCGGAGCCGCGTTCTGGACCGTCTGAGCCGCGTTCTGGACCTTCAGTGCCGCGTTCTGGACCTTCAGTGCCGCGTTCTGGACCGTCGGAGCCGCGTTCTGCACCTTCAGTGCCGCGTTCTGGACCGTCAGTGCCGCGTTCTGGACCGTCGGAGCCGCGTTCTGGACCTTCAGTGCCGCGTTCTGGACCGTCAGTGCCGCGTCCTCGGCCTTCACAAGCTCTGGGGCCTGACGCTTCGGGTTTTGAATAGGGAGATACAGTCGTTGGCCTGGTACGACATTTGCTAGGTTGATTTTGAGGGTGCCGGTGGGCACCTTGATGATGTTCACCTTTCCTCCGGAGCCAGTGAGCAAGGCCCGCAGAACGTCGCACGTTGGCGCTGCATTCGTGCGAGCGGTAGGGCCTCTTGACACCCCTCCCTTCGGCGAACCCGTGACGGTCGAGGTCGCGGTTGCCGTTGCGAGCCGGGTACCCACCGTTCTGGTCGCCGCTGCACTCCCCACCACTTGAGCGAATGGCACTTGAGCGAATGGCACTTGAGCGAATGGCACTTGAGCGAACGGCACTTGAGCGAATGGCACTTGAGCTGATGCTGCCATCTGTTGAGCTGATGGGGCCACCTGTTGAGCTGATACCCCGCGGGCAGAAGCTGTCGCTCGAGCTGTGTTTGAAACAGCTAGCACCAGATGTTCGAGCCGCAGTCCGGTGGAAGGACTGGTAATGACGCGCATTTTCGGTTGCAAATTTACTCGCGGCCGCGGAATGGTGGAGGTCGAGGAGAGTGTGGCGGTGACGTTCACACTGAACGAGCCGAAGGAGGAGTTTGTGCCTGGGTACGCCGAAAGCCTCGTTGTACAATTTTTTCTCTTCCGTAGCATTCGCAGCCGATGCGCGCTCCTGGCTAAAATACTACAGGTCGAGGTGTTTGATCTGGCGCAAGTTATTGGTGAGCAATACAACGTGGGCAATGTTGTGTGTCTGGGTGATAGCGAGGAGCGGCCGGTTGAAGAGCCGGACTCGACGGGTTCTGAGGAACCTGGTTCTAAATATCCACGTAGGAGAAGGCCGATGACACCTGGTCGGACAGACGATGAGGACGTGATAGTGGGGGTGTTCACGATTTTGAACCTTCGCCAGTTTTGGCATGTCCTGGGTCCGTTGGGGAAGGTCATTACGGAGAGCCGTAACGTGACCATGTGCGATATCCTGTCCAAAGCTTTAGCCAAGGAACATGAGCTAGGCATCCTGCTCCTAGAACGACTCACCACTGGCATACCCGAAGCCGTTTGCTGGAAGGCACTCAAAGCCTGCGTAGAAGACGTCAACTGGACGCTCGCTTTAGACCCACAGGAACTCGAACCCGAAGAAGCAGAGGAGCTGCCCTACTACCATTACAAACACCTCCTCTGTTGCGCCTGGGCCTTCGCATGTAATAACACCACGGAATTAGCACTCAAAAACCTCAACAAAAAACCCAGGCTGACGACTGAGGACGATCTAACTGTATCCACTCTATCCTTCGTTGACGAAGATGTCCAGGCAATGTACAAGAAACGGTCGGCATCCATATGTCTCGACACCAAAATGAAGGTAAATGAGCACCCACACGCGCGTGTCTATCTATACACACACGTGTGCGAAATTGCGGGAAACTTGAATTTTTTTAGCTCAAAGCGGAGGACGACAGCATAATGCACCGCTACTTGGTGCTGTTCTCCATTCCGTACAGCTCTTTTGTAAAACTAGCGGAGAAAAAATGTCCGGAGGACGGGCTCAGGAGTGCCGCTTAGGCCTGGCCCAGGCCTGGCCCAAACCTCGTAACTTAAGAAGCAAGGTTCGGGACTTAGTCGAGGGTGGCCCATGGCATGAGGGTTTGGAGAAAGCTGAGAACGACATTTTGATGTGCGTTGACCGAGCCAGTTTGTTGAATAAAGCGTTGCCACCAAGTGCGTAGTGGATTTGCGGCTTCGGTGAGTTGTTGGCGTACTTGGTACCCGCGGTGTGTGCCGACGCTTTCAGTGCCTGAATTGAGTAGGGCGTCAGCAATAACGAATTTTTGACCGTCAAATTCTGAGGGTCGGACACCTTGGTACTGTTTCATGAACTGTGCATGTGCGCTAAAACCAGCGGTTACGAGTGTTTCGACCTGAATGGGGAACTGGTGATGCAGCGCGGCAAAGGTGCCCGTCTTAAGTGCCACGGGCAGTAGCAACCCATCATAGTAATCCATCCAGTACTCCGCAGATTGCATAACGTACGCCTCCAACAAGCGGTAGCGCAATCGCCGGAATCCGTCCACGTAAAAGTGCGGACTGAACAAAGCTAACGTCGCCAAAGCAGTCTCTAACTCCGCCGTGCTCGCTCCCACCTGCGCTCCCGGCGCACTTACCCGCTTCCGCGTCCGCACCATCGCGACAAACTGCGGGTACTGCCACAGACTGTACATCAACGCCAGACATGCCTCTCGCAATGACGGTGGGGTCGGCGTCGGGGTCAGGGCCGGGGTCGGCTTTGGGACCTGCGCGTGCGCACGAGACAAGATGTACTGGTCAAAGTCGGCCAACGAAATGTCCTCCAGCACCGCCTGTGTCGCGGTCAACTCGGCCGTCGCTCGCAGTCCTCCGTCGCGCAGCAAAATCGTTACGCGGCCGAAAAGGAAACTCGGAAGCACCGACTCCAGCAGCCCCGTGAAGGCAAGTCCTGGTTGTGAAGGCTCCTCGCCAGCCCTGGTTTCGGCCGGGCTGCAGGCTTCCACCGGGCTACTGCGGTCGTCGGGACTTCGGTCGTCGGGACTTCGGTCGTCGGGACTTCGGTCGTCGGGACTCCGATCATTTCCTAGCAGACACAGGCCGTCGTACTGGGTGTATACAACGTCTTGGGTCGCTTCGAAATACTTTCGGTTGTAGTTGTGGAACATATCATGCTCTTTGGCTCGGATCATTGTTTCACTGATAACCAGCAATGAGTGGCTCAGATCGTTGCCGAGGGTGAGTACGTTGAGAAATCTGAAAATCTCAAGTGCGACTCGATGGATGCCTCTCTGGAAGAGACTCCAGCCGTACATGTGCAGGCATTTTATGAACAGGAGGTTGCCGTTTTCGGGAATGGAGAGAGCAGCTCTAATATCGCTTTCTCTCTGCCTTTGAGTCTTGGGCTGTATATCCCCGTTTTGGTTTGTGCCATGGTCCCAAACAACCTCCAGGTCGTCGCCAAGCACCGAGAGAGCCTGTGCCACGTTCCTCAAGTCGAGGTCTTGGAGGCGATGTCGTTTTTGGGGGGCTTTATGAAACTGCAAGTTTGGCGACAACCCATACTGGAACGAAGCTAGCGCCCGCTCTATAAACTTGTGTGCGGTGTCGAATTGGTCCGTCTGTACATAGTACTCAGCGATGCATAAGTTCGCCGCAGGGTGATACGGATGCGTGTGGACAAAATCGAACACACCGCTGATATTGCTGGTGCCCACGAGCATCTCCACCACCTTCCAGGTCACCAGATAACGTTCCGTTGGTTCCCAATTATACCACTTATCCGCCGGAGTACTCCGCGTCGTCTTCATCTTGAAATAGAGTTCATCTTCCGGATTGTAGTTCTCCCAGTGCAAATTGCCGAATTTTGCTTTTTTCAAGTCCTCCATTAGACTACTGCTAGGTAATAACCACATGTTGTACTGCAAAGCAATAGTGCCACGACTAGATTTCACATCCTGGTCCACACTGAAGTATTTTTGACTCAAAGTAAACAGTTCCTCCCTTGCCGATAACTCTTTGCTCTTAGTCTTCTCGCAACCCGCGGAAACGCCTCGTTCAACGTCCAACTTTGGATCAAGCCTCGGAGCCCTTGCTTGTCGCTGTCGGCCGGCAGGCTCCGTCATGGGTGCCAGATATATCTCCACGTCTTCAACCGGTCCTTCGTGACCCAAAAAACGCTCGCCCTCTTCGAACTCATCTTCCTCGCTGGCCTCGATTGCGAAGGGGTTTCGCCTAAGTGTTTCGGGAGCAAAACTTTCTTCCGACTCCTCCTCATCGCTGTCGGAAAACGCCTTGAGTTGAAGTTTCTCCTTCCGCAAGGCGCTGGCCTTTCCCATTATGGAAAAAAATATTCACCCCAAGAGGTCGTCCACCAAGGCGTCATCAAGCACCCAGGTCGGGGACAGCGTTGATCGCACGGTCCAAAGACTGGATGAGGTCGTCAGCGTCTTCGATGCCGACGCTGAGACGAATCATACCATCTGTGATGCCAGCCGCTTCACGTGCAGCTTTAGTCATGTTGGAGTGTGTGAAGACGGCAGGGCATGTCATGATTGACTCGATGGCCCCTAGGTTCTCCGCGAGGGTCCAGGGGGGTGTGCAGGCGTTCATGACAAGGCGGCCAGCGGCAGTGCCGCCACGGACTTCGAAGGCGACCATACTGCCATGTATGCCGTGAGTGTGTTGTTTCATCGCGATATCATACTGGCTGTGGCTGGGCAGCCCGGGGTAGCGGACCCAGAGTACTTTGGGGTGCTTCTCTAACCAGATGGCGATCTTCATGGCATTTTCGCTCTGTTTGCGGAGTCGCAAATTCATTGTCTTGGACGTCTGCATCATGGAGAAGGCCGTATTCGCATTCAAAATTGAGCCCATTACGTTCTGTTTGAATTTTAGATGTTCGTGTAGCGCTGGGTCGTTAGTGACCAGTGCTCCTCCCAAGTGCATGTTGTGCCCGCAGTAGAACTTGGTTAAGGAAACCAGCAACACATCCACTCCAAAGTCGAGTCCCCTCATAACTGGGGGAGGAGCCAATGTAGAGTCCGCTACGTGCAAAATACGACCTTGGAATACCGTCCGAGACGGTCCCGAGCCCTCCTCCTGGACGTCTACTGCGCCTTGGTTGACAACGGTGCTGTGTTTCCGGCAGAGGTCGGAAATGGCTTGGAGGTCGGCGAGTTCGAGCACTGGGTTGCAGGGGGTCTCAGATAACACGAGACGGGTACGACCGGGTTGAATCGCAGCCTCGACGGCTTTGAGATCGGTGAAATCGACAAAGGATACCTCTACGCCAAATTGGTTCTGCCATAACACACGTGCGGCACGATTCGTACCGCCGTAGGAGCAACGCGTAATGATGACGTGATCACCAGAGCTCAGGAAGGTTGCAAATAAAGCATTGCTTGCTGCCATGCCGCTGTTGAAAACGACGGCTGGCAATTTGGCCCCTTCCATCTCACCCACACGGGCCTCAAACGCCGCCACCGTAGGATTCGCCGCACGCGAGTATGTATAACCTGTTTCCTGGTAACGCTCCACCGACTCCTGCTTGTACGCAGTGGACTGGTACAAAGGCGTCAACATCGCACCCGTCACCGGATCCGCACGCTCCCCAGCCTCCACGCAAAGTGTATCCGTCAACCCAGGAGACGCAGTGACACACATCTCCTCCGCTAACACCGGAGGAACACTCATCACTTGCTCAACCATACTGCGAATTTAAATGTTTGTTGTACTCCTTCAAAAAAACACAGATCGCACGCCCGGGACAGACAGCCCGGACCTATATATTCAACACCCCAAGCTGCCCGAGTGCAAACTGTCCGAGTGCAAACTGTCCGAGCGCAAGCTGCCCGAGCGCAAACTGTCCGAGCGCAAGCTGCTGGCCGATGGCTGCTGTGTGGGAATTGCTGGTCGGTCATCCCGCAGATCACTCGAACCCGGAATGGCCAAGGGTGGACCACCAACAGCAGCCCACCACCGCCAAGATAGACCGCTCTATCAAGACGAAAAAGGAACTATATGTGAAGTAGATCGCGATTGCGCTGATTCCTCAAAGTCTTTTGAAACGTCCATCTATGAAATAGGCAATGCCTCGTATCCGTGATATCCGCATGCCTGTTCGCGTAGACGTTGGCCAGCAACCCTATTGGCCCCTTGATAAACTCCTTGTAGCCCCGCACGACTTGAAACCCTATAAACTCCCAAAGCATTAAAATTTAATGACGCATGGCCCCCCTCCAAGCGGCATCACTCTGAGAAGAAAACCGGGCTCCCAAAAAAATGCAACACGGCCTCGGGACAGACGCCAACAGAATCATCAGTCTCGCACCAAGCTCTGGAACTGCGGGTTTTGCTGCCCAGTGTGAGCACACGCGTGTGCGAACCATCAAAAAATTTTGATTTTTCGTATGCCCTCTTGATACCTGGATGGGCATGCAGCTGAAATCTGCGTCGGTTTTTGAGTAATCATGGCGCTTGGAGATCCTGTTTTGTGCCACGGCGGCTAGCGTAGGGGAAATCGATTTATCCGTAGTCGATTCATTGATCAAGCTTGTATCAGGGTCTGGTGCAGGAAGGAGGCAAGAAATCGAAGGGCAAAGGATGCAACTGTTCTTCCATCTGATGCTGACAATTGATTTGGCCTTGAATAAAAAGGATTGATAAAAGACTTTCTGTTCAGGTTGCCTAGTCACGCATCCTATTAAGGCTTTCTCCCTATTGAGGCTTCCATTAAGGCTCCCTCCCTATCGAGGCTTCCTATGCTAATCGAGGCTGCATATCGAGTCATGTTTCTATTGAGCCGGTGTGTTTCTGTTGAGCCGCTGTGTTTAAAAGTGCACCGGATGTGTTGGAAGAAGGGGTAGGCGTCTTTTTAGATTGGCTCTTTGCAGACCGCAGAGGCTCTTGCAGACCGCAGATGGCTCTTGCACACCGCAATTGGATTATGGCGGCTTCGCCAAGGGCGATTGGACGACCTGCAGAAGGACAGTCGGGGCGCCAGCGCGGGAAGCGGGGGAGTATAGTGCTGACCGGGGACGGGTTCCCCTGGCAGGGGACCGACTACCCCTGGAGGGGAGGGAGCCTCCCCGGTGAGGGAGCCTCCCCGGTGAGGGAGCATGTAGTCCCTATATGCTCCCTTGGCAGTTGGTTACCTGCTCCCTTGGTCGTATGGCGACAGACTGGCGGAAACGGGTGTGCGGCACGGTGAATATTTCTGGTCCGTAAATTTGTGCGTTTCCGGGGTTTACGCGAGCGGGATGTCGACCACTCCTCAAAAGGTTTTGAAGGGCGACCGCAAGAAGAAGTTTCTGAAGCGAGTACCCTCCGTGGGCGGCGACTCTTCGGCCGCCTCTACCACTGCGGGTTCACCTTCTCAGTGCAGTCCATTCGAGACCAGATTGCCACGTCCGGACATACGCATTCGCTACGCGTACGAAGAGAATGCTGCAGTATTTCTGGCGCTCGCATCTCGCTACTTCATTCACCCCGGCATGTCTGTGGAGGCACCCCGGCAAACTGGCCCGGAACCAGGACGGTTTGTCCCGTTGCATGGCGGCAACCACAATTCAGGACGCGCTCTGGGCGATTTGGGGCACCCAGTTCCAGGACAGGCTCCGTGGGCGGCGTCTCTTCCGCAGACGTCGTGGGTGAAGTTCTTTGGCAATCCCGAGGCACCTGCGTACTTTGCGGAGAAGCTCGGCTCCATGTTTCGATGCCAGAAACCGGCCTATGTGCTTGCCCTTCGCTACATTCAGCGCTTGGCCCGCAAGGAGTTGTTGCCCGGCGGCGCCCTGTGTCGTGTCGTATGTGCCAGCTTGGTCGTTGCCGTGAAGTTTTTCGACGACCTCTACTACACCAATAAGTATTACGCACAACTGCTGGATTTGAACCCGGCCATACTGAACGAGTTGGAATCCGAGCTGCTCAAACGCCTTGACTTCCGTTTGGATGTGGCTCCCGAGGAATACAAAGCCATCGACACCATGTTTGAAGAGGAACGATACATCGTCTGCGCCCAGGCCAGGAGACCCATACTCTGCAATCTCACGACCAAGCAAAACGGCCACCTCTGCGATGCCATCATTTCTGCAAATACTTTTGGACTTCCGTATGCGGCCGTCTCAGCAAGCAAGCAGACAGTTGATATACTCGCTGCTGCCTTGGTCGCTAGGGAATTCGGCGAATACAGATTCCAAACCGAGGAGGAATTCCTTCGGGTCAGCTCCCTGACATCCAAAGCCAAGCACATCCACGACCTCCAAAAGCAGTTCAGAGAAGATTATCTTAAGTCCCTTAAACCACGACGAGGTCACTAAATCCAGTCGCACGGACTCTCTTGAAATCGCATATATACACGCCAGCGAAGTGGGTTCGATTACACAGTAGTACTTACGAAGTGGTTCAAAACACCTACTTACCAGTGTGGTCCATGGACCTGCCAATGAAGTGGTCGCGATACCTAAGTGGTTTGAGCTACATGATTGAAGTACGTACTCAGAAAGTGGTACATGTACCTACTTGCCGAGTGTTCTACTGAGAATGTGGTCTGAGAACCCGTCATGAGAGAGAGAGAGAGTATTAATGCAGCGCTGCAAGGGTCACGAGGTAGTGCGCACCCTGTATTAAGGGAAAAGCGCACTCTGTATGTCGGCGGTCACTAGTTGACGCTCGCCTTCAGGAGGACTCCGTCACCAGAGTGTGGTATCACCAGAGTGTGGTATCACCAGAGTGTGGTAGCAGAAGGAACATTTTGTCATGGTGCCTGGTGCCCATTGAGCACTTGCATTGTGTTGGAGGAGGCGATATTTGAAACAGTGACTGAAATTATTAAGTTTCGATCGATGGGCAGAGCTCGGTAGGGATAGCGCTGGTTATGGAGTTGGATTGGTTATGGTTCTAGGTTGCACGTGGGTCGGGAAGAACATTTGTGGAGGGGGCAAGGTCAGGGCCAGCCACCATTGGACTCACCATTTGGCATCTCCAGCCGGAACCGGGGGTAAAGCCAGGACTGGGGGGTAAAGCCAGGACTGGGGGTAAAGCCGGAGATAAAGGCATATTTTACTGCGGGAGGATGGGCTTTAGAGGTCTGTGGGTTGCTTCATTTCGTTTGCTACTTTCTTGGCTTCCTGGAACAGGTTGACATGGTCCAGGTTCTGGATGCGCGGGTCCTTGTTGCAAACGCTGTAATATCCGAGCGGGCCGAGTTTGAATTCACCTGCGCGGAACACGAGGTCTGCGCTGTTCCGGACGTTGAGTCTGCCGCCGGAGGTCTGGTTACCGGCGGTGGTCTGGTTGCTGGTATCCAGGAACAGTCTTGACACGGCGCCACGGGCCTGGTAAGACTGGCGAACCGCGCCGGCGAAGCAAGTGCCGGGATTGGTCAAGTTGTAGGACACGCGTGTGTTCGGTACCATACCGACGCAATCGACCTCGCTGAGGCGGACGAGGCTCGCGGCGTAGTTCCCGCTGCCGGGCAGACTCGGTTTGACGTTGCAATTGCAAATGACGTTGAGGTAAACGCGTTCCGCATCACCGAAGTAATCGCGCGAAATTTCCACTCCTTGAGCCACTACATCCGCCGCCGAACTCGCCACCGGCAGACTGGCAGCCCTCCTCTTCAGCGTCTTCTTCACCTGGCTCGCATAGCAGAGCTTTGCCTCCGCGACCCCAACCGTCTGCTGGGTTAGATCTGACAGCGTTCTTCTTAACCTTCCCGCGCCCGTCGCTTGCTGCACCCTACTCGTCGTCATCGTGGGTGCGGCCTGGCCAACACCCGAACCAGACGGAGCCGTAACCTCAGTCCCCGTGGAAATCAAATCAGTAGAGTGCAAACAACGCAGCCCGTTGTCTGGTTCCGATTCGGTCGATGGCACAGCCGCACGCTCAGGCTCCCTCGTCGGCTCCAGCACGCCACCGGGCTCGGCCTCGGCCGTCAGAATCAACGAGGCACACAATGCAAGCAATCTCATCGAGAAAAAGTAGTGTAAAAAGTTCCACCGAGGGAGGGAGGGCCAAGAAAGAGCGAGCGTCTTCCAAGAAAAAAAGCGAATAGGCAAACAACGGAGTTAGAGCCACTGTTGTTCTTTGGCCACCCATTCTCTGACGACATCGGTGATGAGCTGTTCTATGCGGTCTCCATTCTGTACGACAGAGTAGTACTTGAACGGGAAGGTGCTGGGGTCCAGCCACGGACGGAAGGTAACTGTCCCGCCCTCGAAAACAGGCGTTTTCACGTCCAAAATGCTCTTGTCGAAAAGCAGCAGGACCGGTACAACGTTCGCGGTCTTCATCCGTGAGAGAGCGAGGTGCAAGTTGCTGTGGTTGAACCGTCCGTCACTGAGGATGACGACCAGCGAGGCATCATAAGACCCCTCTGCATTGTCGAGATCCTTACACAAGCTGTGCAACATCCCCGATAGCATCGAGTTGAACGTGTCACCCCCCACAGCTGCGGAGGCCCCAGCTGCAATTGAAGTGGCCGCCGACGAAGCAACCGCAGCCGATGGGACCACAGCGCCAGGGGCCCCAACGACCCCTGGCGCTGTAGTCCCAACAGCACGACCGAACTCCATGAAGCTGACTTCGCCGGCCTCAAGTTGGTCCATCGCCCCTTTAAGGGCCAAACCGGCGACGATGGCGGAGCGGTGGACACCCAACGTGTGCATAGACTTTGAGGCATCGAGTGCAATAATAACCCGGTACCGCTTCTTAGACAGCTTGGTGCGTCGCAACCAGATACGGTCTTTGCGATAGTCACTCGCGATGAAGCTGATGACCTGGCGCATATCCAGGCGTTTGCCCGTCCGGTAGTAGCCCTCGTACCGGCCCTGGTTTGTCGGCACCAGGACCGTGCGCAGCGACTCCACGAGCCGCCCGACCATGGCCTGTGCGTCCTGCTCGACGCTCGGGTCTGCGCGCTGAAACTCCTGCACCGCGGGGTCGCAGTCGGCAAGCAGCGACTTTTTGGCCTTCTCCTTCCGTTCTGACTCGCGGTACCGTACCTCCGGCACTTTCCTGTCCCTCTGGTCCTCTCCCCGGTCCTCTTTCTGGCCATCTTCCTGCTTTCCATCGTTAGGACCTTCTTCCCGCTTCGGACCTTCTTCCCGCTTCGGACCTTCTTCTTGGCCATCTTTAGCCCGGTTGTCCGAAGACTCTGGCTCGTGAACAATCTCCTCAAGTACCGCCACGGGATCCGCCAGTTGGCGTCCCGGCCTATCCACCGGCAGGTCTGGTCGTTCGGCCGGCAATTCATCGGCGTTTTTACCAAACGCGTTTGCGCTGTCATCCGCGGTCTCGTCCAGCTGGCCCATCTGCATGTCTCCCTCGCCAGCCGCCGTTTCGTCCGCCGCGGTCTCCTCCAGGGTCTCGTCGCCTGTAACCAGTTCCGCGACGTTCCGCGACGACCGCGGACCCCCGGCCGAGGCGGCGTCGGTCTTAGCAATGCGTTCCGCAGCTGAACCTCCCTGGCCCTGTTCCAGCTGTCCGCCACCCTCGCTCGAAAGGCCTCCGGCCGTCTCGGCAGTGCCATTCTCCGGACTCTGTTCTGTACCACCTTCGCGCATGTCCTCGTCCTTCTGTCCCGCCTCCTTGACACCGCCATCGTCTTCCCGCCCTCCTCTATCTGGCTTCGGCTCTTCTTCCTCCTCCCCTTCGGGCCCATCGGTCCGAGCGTCCGGTGGTAGCGTCTCGTCCACGTCTTGACCTTCTTCCGCGTTCGGCTCTGCCGCCTCCTCACCGTGTTCCGCCAAGTACTCTTCCGGCGGCCCGCTGCCGTCCTCGTCCTCATCGCTCTCACCCAGCAAGTCGTCCACGTCCACCGTCTTGTCCGCTTCGCCTTCCTCCATAGCCGCGTCATCCATGTCCGCGTCCTCTACGCGTGCCTCCTCCGTACCCTCCGGCTTGTCACCGCGAACGTCTCCCTCGACGTCACGTGAGCTCTGCTCCTCCTGCTCCCCTTGCTCTTCGCCTTCGTCTTCGTCTTCGGCTCCGCATTTGCCTTCGCCTTCCATCTCCACCTCGTCCGCCTCGGCTTCAGAGGCGCTGTGAGCATCCTTGCCCGAAGGATCTTTGTCTGACGGGTTTTGGTTGGCACGGAAATCCTCTTCGAGCAGCTCCTCGGCCGGGCCGGTCGGTTCTTCGCTTAGCCGGTTGTCTTGCTCATTTCTGCCGTCGTCTTCGCCGTCGTCTTCGGGTTCCAATTGCTGCGTGTCGCCACCGTCCACTTGGTGGAACTCCTCCTCCTCTTCTCGGCGGTCCGGTTCCGGTTCCGTGCCGGGTTCAGGGTCGGGCAGGTCTTCGAGCTCGCCTTCGAAGCCCATTCGCACGTCCTTTCCCTCGTTCGGGCTGTCATGTTTCTCTTGCTCCTGAGGCTTCGTCTCCTCCTGTAGCGTGTCGAAGTCCACCTCATTTTCCAACTCCTCCCCCGCCTCCTTCACACCCGACCCCTCAGCCAGGCCGCTGCCTTGCACAAACTCGTCCTCGCCTTGTCGGGGTTCCGGCTCCCTCTCGTCCTCACCCGCCTCAAAGTTCATGCCGAACCGCGCCAACTGGCCACCGACCACTGCCAACGTAATCGGTACGTTCAATAACATCCGCTGACGACTCAGCACGCCATCCAATAATACGCGCGCGTTCGTGCTCAGCCGGCCCAAAATTTGTCCTGATTTCTCGTCATCATCCTCGCCCGTCACGGCGGCCTCCTTCCCGGTCGCTGTGCATGCGAAACGCTTAATCGAGGTCCGAACCACGCTTCCGCACGCACCGACGGCTGACGCGATGTCGTCAGCCGATGTCCGGGTACCGGCTGGGGCGCTGGCACCGCCTGTCGATGAGGCACCAGTCGGAGCGGGCTGGAGAGGGTTGTGGCAAATGCTGACGATCTCTGCCGCCTGCCCTGCCAGGATATCGTCATGATTAAGGTATTCCATAGGCGCCGTCTTAACAGCCTTCAGGAGACCCGAGAGTTCGGCAATAGCGCTTTTGATTTTGTGTACATATTTGTCCGTAGTTTTAGAGTCGATTCCGAGCCCGGTATCGAAGGAGGACTGCACTTCGGAGAGCCAGTGGCTCAGGTCGGAAATCAATTTTGTTATGTAGTTTTCAAAGTTCCTCAGCGGCAGTACCAGGCAATCGTCTTGGATATTTGAGAGCACACGTGTGTGCCAGGATAAACTTTCGCTACTTTGGGTATCAAGTAGCCACGCCGGAGGAACAATTGCGCCGCTTCTTTCAGGTTCTCCGACTGCGGGTTTGGCGGTAAGCAAGGCAATTACCTTACTGAATCTTTCCAGATCATCCAAGACATTTTCCACGGCAAAGAGACGGTCTCTGAAAACACTCACCATAACCATTCCGTCGGCCAAACCGCCCGTCAAAACCCGGACAAGGTGCTGCGACCACAGCCGCATGACCTCTAAACGCCGGTAGGAGTCCAGCACCCTCGTAACCAAGTTCACGAGTAGACAACTCCAATCACCGCACTCTTTCAGAAACTCCGGGTCACACGCACTTTCTTCTAACGAAAAGAATTCTGCACAAGCACTTATTAATCCACGTAGGTGGCTATCCGGGGGAACACTGCCCCGAATAAAACTGTTCCGAATAAAACTGTTCCGTGGAAGACTGCCTTGCTTAACGCTGCTCCAAGCTTCATCACAACAGTAATGTCGGGCGAACGTTTTTTCCAACGCACTGAGTACAATCCGTTTTGAACCGTGGTTTCGACTGCAAGTGATCCACGCTTCCTGGCCGACAGATTTCCGAACCTTGTTCCTTATCGTTGCGAGCAGACGCTGAACCTGCGGCCGAGGTAAGTCCACTAAGAGCTGCTCTATTTGCTCCTTCAGACTGTAGAATTCCTCCTGTCGCCGCAGAGCCCCGGACACGGTCCACACACGTCCGTCCTGATCCTCACCATCTTGATCCTCCGTGGGCCGGTCCGCCTCGGCGTTGTCCGCTCCGGAGTGGCCCGTTCCGGACAGGTCGAACTTGAGTACCAAGTTCTCCAAAGGCTCTAAATCGGCCACGGTGAACGGTGCGTTGCCGGCGATGAGCTTCTCTGCACAGGACGTACTGCCAATCACTGCTTGGTAAACAAACCCGGAAGTGGTTTGGAACACGGTGTCGATTTTACTGACTGCTCTCGCCAATTGTAGGTGCTTCGTCTGCAAATTCCTTCGGTCCCGTTCAACTGTTCTCGCCTCTAGTTTCATTAGATGTTGTATGTCGGATATCTCCTTCCTCCAGGGAGTGATTTGAGCTTGGACCCAGCCTCGAGCGACGACCTCATACCGGTCTGTCCACCTACACAAGTTATACAGCAACTGGCTTAGCCACCGGCATTGCTCTTGCACCGATTGCTGTTCGGCTGCTTGCTGTTCGGTTGCTTGCTGTTCGGTTGCTTGCTGTTGCATCAACTGCTGCTGTGAGTTAAGTGTAAGATCATGGAAGATGTCAGCGAGGCTCCTGAGTAAGCACCGTATGAGGGGTATTTCAGCTACGTTGCAGCCGCCCAGTTTGCATTGCATAATATCATCGATGAGGGAAACGATTTCAACCTCGGCTTCGGTGGTGTTCCATTTTTTCCGACATCCCATTACGGCGGTCAGAACTTTGACAGCACTGACGTCGAAAAAGCGCTGCCCGGCCTTCTTCTGTCTGGTGTAGCAAAGTGACGACCATTCAGCTACTTCTTTTTGTCTGAGGTGGGTGATTGCTTGGCTAATGGTCTCAGTCTCAGCAGTCATCTTGTGCTCCCGTGTGGCGTAATGCTTAATCCAGATATTCAGGACGTCCCACAACTTTTCGAGATGGTAATGTAACGTGGCGCCCGAGGTGGTAAGCAGCGGCAAGTGCAGAATGATATTGAGTCGGTCTACAATACCGGCAATTTGCGGCAAAATCCCGACGTTATAACTTGCAGATAGCTCTAACAATTTGTTCTTAATTCGCACCAAAGACCCAGTCAAGGAGACCAGCTCGTCCTTTGTACTACCGTGATAAAACCAGCTACCCATTTGAATAGCGGACTCACTAGCTGCCTCAGAATAAATCAGCCAGTCCAATGACCACTGTTGCATTACATGTCGCTCTCCAGAGATCATTCCCTTCATTAAATCGTCCAATTTAAATGAACCCAAGCTGGCTAAGTGTTCTTGTGCGTTCTTGTTGAAATGAGAGAGGTCAATTATGGTAATACTTTCCTCCAACGTCTGCCTAATCAGGTCAGATCTCAGGATGTGTGTGCCATTTCGCGCACACACGTTTGTTGGATTGTGGTAGGAAGAACATAAGAGCCGCATTAATAGCTCAAAGAGATATTTGGGGTTCTTCTTATGCATGGATTTATCTTCAAATACATGAGTATTTTGATGCGACAAGAAGACATTTTCCTGTTCTTCCATAGTTTCTTGTGTTATAGGGAATAACTCCTTCACAAGCGGTCTGAGCTCTTCTTCTTCTGTGGATTCAGTTCTAGTTCCCCAATCCTTCTGTTCCCACATGACCTCGGATTCGAGCATTTTTTCAACCAAGTTTTCTGTTACTCGATGAAGACTTTGCACAAAATACTCACAAGTCATCAAGCCCATACCACGATACGACCTTGTCATAAACCAACTTATGCATAAACATATAGACTCATATGCATGGGTACGACCCAGCTTATACAACCAGTTATGACTTATATTAGGGACCAATTGAAGGATACCATATCTCTTATGTCGATTGGTTGAATCCAAAATCTGCAATATACACCTCAGATATCTAGCGAGAGACTCCTCCAATAACTGTAGGACGTCATAAAACATTGTCTTATGAACCATATCTTGATACGTCTGGCAAACATATTTGTAATCTTTCTTCATCCACCATAGCTTCAACTTATCAATAGTCTTACTATTGGCAGACTCAATCTGAACAAAACTTGTTACGTGAGGACTCAGCAATACTTCCTTAACATGATGTATTATCTTATAGTAGAATGACTCGAAAGAATCCAACAAATCCACTGCCGTCAGATCTTTCATCCGCAGGTCCCGAAAACTCTCAGAAATCATCTTCTCAACAACTTCCTGAGGATTCCGCGGGGGCAACGAAGACCATGTGGTAGCATCTCCGTAGGATTCGTTCCACAAAAGCTGATACCACAATTCACAAAAAATTAATCTCGATCGAGACCTCTTAAAAGCTCGAATTTCCTCTTCATATTTACCCTGCTCACGAATCCGTTTCGCCATTAAAGAACCCAGCTGCACTACACAACACCACACTATGAGTTCCTGCAACCATAAAGGATCCCTCTGCTTCCACTTTTCCAGCGTATCAACATTCACCGTTTCTTCCGCTACCTTCCCATCTGAGACCACTTCTTGGTCCCCCTCGGCGACCATCTCTTGCTCCCCCTCGGCGACCATCTCTTGCTCCCCTATCTCCTTGACGTCGTCGTCTAAAGAAACCGTTTGGGGCATATATCTGTTGACGGCGTAACATACTGTCCTTTCTCCGAAGCAGTCAAATATATCTTGTACACTAGAAAGAGTCAGCTGAGGGTCTTTCAATGCCTCATACAGATGCTCGGGCCAATGTGAATCTCGATGTAGTACTTTCGGCACGTCATAATTGGAAGACGGCAATGGAGTTATTGCCTTGAATCGCGCGGAGCGGAACTCATTACATGTCTGTAGCCGAATCTTGTAGGCCAGGGAGCCTCTATCCGTCAGAGAACCCGTGCCGCTCCCACCCATTTCCATGAGGCACTCAAAAAAACCCAGCGTGTTCCCATGTACGGTACCTCAACCCAACATCTCAATGAATACACCACTGTGCAAACTCAGCTCTCCAAAACCAACTACCAAGTCCTCCGGTCACCACAGTAGCTCACAGAGCCCGCGGAGGAGGCGCCAACCACAGCTGGGATAACTTTTTGTTTTGTCGTATTGCCAAAGAGAGCGCAGAAATTCCTGAGTCTGATAATCCGCTAAAATGGTAGGCAGTGGGGGACACGATACCCACATATCAGGGACACCACCAGCGCATGTGCAGAACGTGTTGGAGCACCGTCACGATACCACCACAACGTGATACTACCGGACCTGTGCCGCCCACCACTACAGTCCCGTCATTACGTGTGTTATATTTAGGCCCGTCTCTCCACCACCGAAGCCCGTGCCAAGAGTGTCGCTGAGCTCCAGTCTGAGCTGATTCAATACAAGGAGGCTTTGTTCAAGGCTCGTGTGGAAACCCACACCAAAGGCAACCGCAGCGGCTGGCACCTGATCCGTCAGAACCGCAAGAACGTGGCTCGCGTCCTCACCTTGATTCAGGAGAAGCGCGTGGCCGAGGTCCGTGAAGCCTTGAAGGGCAAGAAGGATATTCCCAAAAGGCTCCGACCTCGCCTTACCCACGCCCTCCGCATGAAGCTCACCCCCAGACAGGAGGCTCTCAAGACTAAGAAGGAGGCCCGCAAGGTCGCCACCTACAAGCAACGAAAATTCGCTGTTCTGGCCTGATTTTTTTCACCGACAACATATCACGCGGCATCATCGAATAATTGCAGGGATCAACCCGGTCCAGCAACAAGCCCAACCCGTGAGCGCCCACCCGCCGGACCGAGTCGGCAAGCGCCCGTTGCTGGCTTTGAGGCCGGATTAAAAATATTCACGTTGGGTGTGAGAAAGTGTTCGAGGGGATGGGAACTTCCTTATCTACCTTGGACTTGGGGACAAAGAAGGACGGAGTCACAAACGCTCCACACGTACAATTGCTCCCCGTCCACGCATAGCGCCCCAACTTGAAATTGCAATAGGGACAATTAATAACTCCCGCCATCTCGCTTTCTATGGTTTTAGACAGCTTCTGGAAAGCCGCTTCATTCAGATTGATATTCTCACAAGTCGATAACACTCGCTGCTATAACAGAGCAGTGTCGCCAGGTGGATTCAAGTGGTGTGTGTCGGGGAAGTTGTGTCTACCTTATCAGACTTATTGACATATCCGCGGGATTTCTGCTTCTGTGTGGCTTCGTGGGGTTCGGCCATATCATCTGGTTCTTGGAGTATGCGTTTGCCGCAGCCCTGACATCTATAATGGGTTGGCATTTTTTATTGGGAGTTCGACACTGAGTGCCTGCACGAGGGCTAGCAGTTCCTCGAGCGACTGGTCACGATCGAGACCAAGTAGTTCGTCACCGTGGGAGGCAGTGGTACTGGTGGAGAGGCGCGGTGCGCGCTTTCGCACGTGTGTGGCGGCGGCGGCGTCGGAGTCGCAATTGGAGGAAGCGGGCGAGTCGAGAGTACTAGCGAGCGCCTTCGCGAGCTGTCGGGTGCTATCGTCAGCGGAGTCGTCGGAGCAAACTAGACTGTCCGCCGGCATGCTCGATATCTCCCGGGGATCTCGCAGCAATGCAGACGAGCCTGGGGAGCTATCGGAGCAGTGCCGCGCGGGGGCCTCGCTAAGCGGCGCCGAGCACAGCTGCTCAGCCACTGACTGCTGAACAGCGTCTGCCGCGAGCCCCCCCTTGTCGGCGAACGGCTCAGGGGCCCCCTTGTCGGTGAACGGCTCAGTCGCAGCGAACGAGTCGGGGAGCTTCGGCAGCGCCGACAAGGCAGAGGACGAAGAGAGGACTCGGCCGTTCCAGTACGGCTCTGCAGGCCGAAGGTCTCTCTGGAGTTCTGGAGCGCTGGGTCGGTAGTCCATGGCCCCGTAGCGCGCGCTCATGGGGTTGTCATTGCGCGGTGGCAACCGCTGGAGTGAGAGCATGGGGTGGATACCGCCGCCGAGTCCGCTAGGGCACGCCGGGACCAGCCGGGCATAGCTGCGGGCATCGTCGACCAACTCCTCACTGGTGAACGCCCGTTCCGGCACCGTCGGGCGTTCTAACGTGATCGACGGGTCCAGATTCTCAGGCACGAACGCTTGACGTCTTAATTGCTGTTGTTGCTGACGGGGCAGCTTTGTCTCCGGCGGGGCAATCGGATCCCCCGACGGCCCAAAGGAGCCGTCGGCTGCTAGCCATACCACTGCGCGGCGCAACTCTTTAAAGTTGTGTGTCAGGAACAAAACCACTTCTGGACAGCCCATGGCCCACCGGGCGAAATACTCCTCATGCGGACCGCAGTAAAGCAACGCGCCTCCAAAGTTAGACACAGATTTGTACTCTTTCTCCGGAATAGACTGGGCGATATCCGCAGCAGCAACCAGGAAGTTCCTTCTGGAGGGAATCCGATCGCACGCGTCTTTCATTTCACTTATACTTCCAATAGGCTACCATAATCAATCATGAGCACTTAACCCACTTGTCCCGCCGGGCTTCGCGTCCGTGCGGCCACAGCTAACGCTTGCTGCGTCCCTCGGCGTCCAGTTCTTCCCTTCGTCCACTTCTCCCCTCCGCAGCCGCTTACCAAAATATTAGAAACATCGAACGTAGCTAGGGTTTCAATGAAACTTCGGGTGTGGATCCGTCGACCATTATCTTCCAACACGTAGAATACATTACTGAAGGTTGTCATTTGATCGATACCGATATCGAACACGTGTGCGCGCGCGCTTCTAAACGGCGCATTAATTATAAACCGGTGAATTAGTATGTATATCAAGGAATCAAGGTAAGATTGTCAGTGTTGCACATCCTGAATACGATTTCCTGGGTCATATCCGACCAAGATAGCGTTTGCTTCATCCCCCAAGTCTTGAGTACTCTTGATACAGCGGGTGTTGAGAAGACTCCAGACGGAATATGGTCGTTGGTGATTTTGAAGGATTTCAGTCCCGTATCATATGCCTTCAAGGGCGAGGTCAAGTGCCATGAATTCTGAGGAGCGTGCCCGAATATTGGAAGGCACAATGGTAAATTATCCGGTGCACTACTTATGACTGGGTTCTCAAGGGTATCGTTTGTGATCTCATCAGACATGACAGCTCCCGTAAACGTCTTGGTTTTTGTTCGACAGGGGATAAACCTCAAGTCCGAGCACAAACCACTAAATCGTTGCGTCTCATCCGCAGAACATTTGCTCAGAGTCCTACACAATATGTATTGCCAACAGACGTAGTATTTTTCCTCGTAGTACAGCTGGTTTATGCCGCGGTTGTTTAACCAGTGAGGAATAACATAGTTGTGCATCGCTGTTAGGAAACTAATGAACCTCAGCTGGGAATCCACCGCACAGAAAGACTTCATCACCCGGTCGGGAACAGCAATTATCCTCTCCCCACTTAGGTCACTCAGCCTATCGCAAAACGTCTCAATCATATCACGTATGCAAGGCAGACCTACACCCCGGCCGATACTCGACGGCGTGCCACCAGCTGTCCCCACTACAATTTCCTGATCAGCAGACGCAGGCCCCAGCACCTGTCTCAGCACGTGATGCCAGGTCAGCTGTAATTCGTTCAATGCAGACATTGTCACGTCATTCATTCGCAGAAACCGCACGCCCTGACCAATCAGGTGGACCACAGTCCCGCCAGTCACAGTTGGCGCAGTAGATACAGAGTCACCATCATTCCATGATTCGAACCCTGCTAGCCCCGTAGACCCCCCCAATCCGACTGCCCCTCCGAATCCGACTATTTCTCCACGTAAAGCGGAATAATCACCACTAGATTCAATCCCTGCACTACCAGGACGTGGACGAAGTGCGGGGCCCGAATCAGATGCAAGGCCTGGACTAGATGCGAGACCTCCGCTAGATGCAGGACCTCTACTGGATACAAGGCCTCGATTAGATGCAAGAGCTCCATTAGAGTCAAGACCTCCCCTAAATCCTCCACTTGCTGCTCCATTCCACAGAACGCATTTGGCCAGGTTGATGGCGAATTGTTTCATTCCCGCGGATAACACGTCAGGGTCAGGCCAGTTGCCGAAGCACACCTGGTTGCTGCAGTAGCCCAACAAGTCTGCCAGTAAACGGGGGCCGTGATCCAGCAGCAAGACCCGGTTCCACTGGCTCCATTTTTTCGCCAGACCCTCGGCTTCTTCCGAGAGCCACACGTCTCGTCTGTTGTCCGTGAGACAAAAGGTCCCGTGGAAGTGGAAGGGCAGGCCAGTCGAAGGTGCGTCGACAATGGGCAGGAAACTAAACAGCTGGCCCCTAATGCCGCTCTGGGGCCAGCAGGACCGGTCGAATAGCTGAGACACTCCAGTCGACACACTGTCGTCTGAAAAGGCCGACGGCAACTGGCCCGTGGGCAACGGGCACACGAGCAAAGCAATCCCGATTATGGGCGGCCGACCTACTGTGTCCACCACCGCCAACAACTCCTCATCGTCCTGCACCAGACAGTTACCGACTAACCACAACGACGCTTGACCAGCATCGCCGCTCATCGGTTCCGGTTCGTGATGAATAGCTAGGACTTGCACTTCGCGAATAACGCTGGCGGACGTGATCGCAGCTTTGAGATCGCTCCCCCGTTCCAAAGCTTCAGCAATCTGGCCCCGAATCGCAGACCTTCGGCGCTCCCTCCACTGGGGCGCGGCGCCACAAACTGCAAGCGACTTGGCGAGGGCTGGTGTCGCCGGAGCGGCCTGGACGAAGCACGAGGCTAATAGAGACGGCTCATCCTCGCAATCCTGCCACTCCAGCACTTCGATGGACTGGACGGAATTCAGAAATAATAGGCATTCCCTCAGCTCTTGGGCGAAGGCCTTCAGGATCTTCAGAACCTTGGTCGCCGTGTACTCGTAAGGTGCAAACCGGCTCTCCCTCGCGTACCTGCCAATCCGCAGAGGCAGTCTAAAGATGGTCCCATTAAATGGCTGAGTCAGCTGATCGAATCCTTCGACGTGATGGAAGCCCTTTAAGTGTGTGCACACGCGTGTGCTGCTCGCTTTTAGCAATTCCCGCTGGCAAAATGGAACCTTTTCGCCGCCTTTTGTGCTCAGAATGTAGTCCGGGTCCAAGTAGGCGTACTGGTCGCCGGAGAGAATCATGAGGATGTCGGCCATGTGGAAGAAGGACCGGCTTCCCATCCCATATTTTCCGATTGAGAGCGCATCATGGGCTTTGTAGGATTCGAACATTTGTTGAAAGCTCATCCAATCGGCGGCAGAGAAGGTTCCGTTGTTATAGATCAATAGAGCACAGCCAGCAAACCTCTCGAAGCTTGGCTCAAAGTTTACTATTCTCCGGTGGTCCAGTATGAGCTTGAATTTTGTAGCGCCGGCATCGTCCGCATTCTGGAGAGCTTCCTTGAAAATGCTCGTCCCTTCTGGGTAGTTCGCCAGGATTCTCTTCAAATGCACAGAAGGGGGCGGACAACGTAAACCAAAATGCTCCTCGCTCAACCCGGAAGGGTCATGCATGCTACGCACCCCTGCCAGAATGGGGCGTCGATTGGTGAAATTCACCTATCGACTCTGCCAGTGGGATCAACCTGTCGAATCGACCGGTTGATCTCCCGCACCCACCCACGTTCCAAATGGCAGGCAATTAACTGAAGCGTGTATCACCTCCTGAGAGTCCCCCCCCGCCCAACGATCGACCCTTTGTACTCTCCGTCTCCCCTCCCCACCCTGCCCTTTGCGCCCCCTCTCCCTTCGGGGGAGATTAAAATTGTGATGAGCTCAAATGGGGGCGGGGGGTTCTCGTCATCTTTCAGAGTGTTTGCAACTGCCCATATAATTACGCTGGTTTGTCTGGCGGGTGTGGTGGCGTCTGGTACGCGATACTTTTCGGGGAAGTGGAGTCGGTTGTCGAGTCGCACGGTTGGAGTGCCACTGGCGGTGCTGGAACTTTGGTCCGAAGAGCACACGGTTGGCCGGTCTATTATGCATGAGCCAGCGGTAGACGAACGCCTCGCCCTGACTCCTGGTGTCCTAAGTCGGGGCGTCCAAAGTCCTGGAGGCCTAGGTTATGGCGCCCTAAGCCCAGGCGGTTTCGAGTTGTACCCGCGAGCGCTGCTTCCCGACGACAAGTTGCTCTCCCTGTTCGTGCCCACACACGAGCGCGACTTGGCGAGGCTCGGCGGCCGTCTGAGTACCGCCCTGATATGCACCGACCTGGAGGAGGACTATGAGGCGTGGCCGACACCGGAACGCTACGTACAGCGGCCGCAACTCGGCCTGGGTGAAGAGCCTGGACTCAATGCACTTGCTCAAAATGAAGACGGCCTGGATGCATTTGGTCAGGGCACATTTGGTCAAGATGCGTTTGGTCAAGATGGTCAGGATGCATACGGTCAAGATGACAGTGGCGGCGACGAACCACTGGGGGAATCGCTGGGGGGACCGGTAGGTGAACCACTGGGGGACCCAGTAGGGAAGCCAATGGGGAAGCAAGTGAGGTGCAGCAAGTCGTCGTTGGCGGATTCGTTATTGGCGGATACGTCTACCTGTGCCTCATCGGACGAATGCTCACGGATGCAGGCCAAGTCGGACCCTGTTGTTTCAGACGTCCGGGACTCGGTCCGGGACTCGGTCCGGGACTCGGTCCGGGACTTGGTGCCGGTCGGGGAGGTCTTTGAGGAGGCTCAGGAAAGTTTTGAGACGTCTGTGGCTGCGGCGGTGGTGGTTGGCAAGCACGCACTCCGAGTGCTGGATTCGCCGCCTAGTGCTGGGTTGGGCCGGCGTTGCGTTCTGTGGCGAAGTGACGGGGAGGCGGCGGTGCCTACCCCGAAGTTATTGGAAAAGTCAAGTGGGTGGTTTGCCCCGAATTACCCCTTGTCGAGATGGGTGTTGTTCCTGACGGACAGTTTGTTCGGCAACCTTGTGATTGTGGTCGGCTCCTGGGTGCACTCGCTAGCTCTGCCCCAGCCGGTCAGCATTGTGCACGCACCGCGGCTGCTCATGTACTTGCTGATGGGTATCTGGCGCGTTGTGGCACTTTATATTGGACTCAACGGTCTGGAAAGCTCGGCCATGGTGCAGCCCTTTATGGTCAAATGGGAACGCGCTATTCACCGAGGCTTGGACTACAAACCCGGCGGCAGGTTCGACTCGAGCGACCACATAGTGTTGTCTGCCTATTTGATTCTCGTGATCGTTACTGAAGGCGTCTGCATGTGGACTTTTCGGAACCAGCGTCACGAAAAAAAGGACAAAATAGACAACCCATTTAAGCTCCGTAGACGAGGCCTATTCGTTGTTACTGGACTCATGGGAATGATCCTGGCATTACTCCTGTACAACTGCTTCATGACCGCAGCCTTCTTCCATACACCACTTGAGGTGTGGTCGTCCATTTTCATCGCAATCACTGGATTGTTCTTGCCCTTTTGGCTCGCAATCGCCTTCGACGTTTTTTCAACGACCCGTTTTTGCTTTGCCATGTAAGTTTCACCTTGTAAGCCTCGTCAGGCCACTAGTGCGCCACAAAGGCACGAAACGGGGCGGAAAAGGCAAACGGGGCAGTTTCGTGGCGGTTAGGCAGTCCCGCAGCGGCGGGAAACTCACTTCCGTCACGGTCGGTGACGCTTGGGGCAGTTCGGACCGGAACGAGGGGGACATCGTTCCGTTAGCACACACGTGTGCGCCATCAAAAATAAGCGCAATAATACATGTCTCGGTTCCTCTTCACGTCCGAGAGCGTTACGGAGGGTCATCCGGATAAGTTGTGCGACCAGGTGTCTGACGCGATACTTGATGCGTGCTTGAGAGTGGATCCACGAGCGAAAGTAGCTTGCGAGGCCTGCACGAAGACGCAGTTTGTCATGGTGTTTGGGGAGATTACCATGACGGGCTCGGTGGACTACGAGAAAGTTGTTCGCGAGACTGTATTGGCTATAGGCTATGACGACGTGTCGAAAGGCATGGACGGGCGAACCATGGAAGTGAAGGTGGAGATAGAAGAGCAGAGTCCGGAGATTGCAGCTGGAGTACATGTTAATCGAGTGGCGGCGGATGTAGGGGCAGGGGACCAGGGCCACGTCTTTGGGTTTGCTTGCGATGAGACGCCGCAGTACATGCCCATGTCGCACTCGATTGCGCAGAGACTGGCACATCGACTGTCTGTGATCCGCAAGGACGGGACGGCGCCGTTGCTGCGGCCGGATGGCAAGACTCAAGTCACTATGGAGTACGAGAAGTCCGCGGACGGTGCAATCAAGCCGGTGCGGGTTCATACGGTTGTTGTCTCGGCGCAGCACGACCCGCGGCTAGGCTTGGAAGAGTTACGGAGCATTGTATTGGACCAGGTGGTCAAACCCATCATCCCGGAGACCCTGCTATCTCCCGAGACGCGGTACTTGATCAATCCTTGCGGGCTTTTTACGGTCGGCGGGCCTCACGGAGATGCAGGCCTCACGGGCCGTAAGATCATTGTTGACACCTATGGCGGTTGGGGCAGTCATGGCGGCGGCGCCTTTTCCGGCAAGGACTCTACCAAGGTGGACCGTTCGGCTGCCTACATGGCCCGCCACGTCGCGAAGTCCCTGGTCGCCAACGGCTACTGCAAAAGATGCCTCGTCCAGATAAGCTACGCCATCGGCGTTGCACAGCCCCTCAGCGTCTACGTCAACACTTTCAACTCCTGCCTCTACACAAGCGACGCTGTCCTGGAAGACGTTGTCCATAAACACTTTGACCTCCGACCCGGCAAAATCGTGGAGTACCTCAGACTGCTCTCCCCCGTCTTTCTCCAAACCGCTGCATACGGACACTTTGGCCGTGACGGCTTTGCCTGGGAAAACACTCGCGACCTCTCCGAGGAACTCTGCCTCCGCCGTCTCCACCTGGGTCGTGCCTGAGACTCAGAGGCCGAGTCGACATAAGTTGGTCCCAACTTCTGCCCAGGTGTGTCAGACTTAGAGGTTGTCTGGGGTTGACAGAGTCAGGGGTTTCACAAAGGCATCTGGCAATGAATGAATAAAATGTGCCCAACGGCGGTTCGGAGTTTTGCAAAAGATGTGTGTGCCGTAGCCTTTAAGCGGGTGGGTGGTCACCAAGGCAAATGAGTTCACTTTCCACCTGAGGGCGCACTGGTGACGACCTAGTCCAGGTCGTCCTGCACGCTGAGGTCATCACTAAGTCTGGGAGAGCTGGGCGGAGGTGCGTGGACCTGGGCTTCGACCTGCACGACCAATGTGGCATCTTCGGACTCCAGGCTGTTGTCGCTCTCCAGGCTGTTGTCGCTCTCCAGGCTGTTGTCGTTGGATGATCGGGTAGTCACTTGTTGCTTCTCCGCGAGCTCGGCCAAGCGCGCTTTGACTTCGGCGATGGTTTCGTAAATGGGTTCCTTTTTCGTGCCAGGCTGGGAGCCCTCCTTGATAGTCTGGCCATCGGGCTCTGACGAAACCAACGCCACCTCAGCGGGAATGGGTTCCTCCTCCGTGGGTGTCAATGACTGTTCGCCCGTCATCGGTTCGGTCTTCTCGGCGGCGTCTTGCATGGCGGGTTCGAACACGAGTGTGAAATATTTGCGTTCGGGTACGGC